TTAGCTCGCTTTCCGTAGGCTCGGAGCGACTACTCGATTGGTCGCAATGCCGGCGCCTCACTCAATTTTGAGGGCGACTTCAGTTGAATCCTCGGCAGCTCACTCTGCAGCACGGTCCGTGCACCGAGTTGAAGAATCTTCAGGGGTCGTGCGTCCCAGGGTGGAGTTGCCTCCAAATAAAGATGAGGAGGAGAAAGAGAGGCTGTTGGTTCGGCGCAGGGTGGCGTTCACTCCGTCCCTTTCGGTGGTGCTCAACTTGGATTTCCCACCATCGGAGGCGGAGGGGAATGCGGCGGAGCCTGCCCCTGAGGGCGGGCATTCAGTGGGGGTTGCCCCGGTTGGCTCAGGCCAAGGTGACACAATCGCTTCGGGGATTCAAATTGCAGTTCTAGTTGCTGAGAGGGAAGGTAGTTCCTCAGCAACTGTTTTGGTGGGAGAGACAGGCCCCAATATTTTGGCAGGTGCGGATGCTTCAACTTCCCGAGCAGCGGAAGCCTCGACTTCTAGGGCGGCGGAAGGAGGGGGCGCCTCAGGAGAGGGAGATGAGTCTGAGTCCGACTTGGACCCTGAGGACGTCCGCCTGTTCCAAGAGGGTTATACTCCCCCAGCGGTACAGGCCGAGGGATATTTTTGCTATGTCGAGATTCCTAACAAGCAGAACCTGCTGCTTGAGGAAGAGAACCAGGTGACGCTGTTCGAGGTTATGTGCTCGAAGGTGGAGAGCACATCCTTGAGGGGCATCTCGAACGTTGGGTTGATGGGCGAGGTGGCCGCTCTGAGTATAAAGGTACGTGTAAAAGCCTTGGCTTATTCCTTTCCTTAGTGTATCTTATTGTATTAACTGATGTTCTGTTGTTTTAGTCATTCTTATTAGAGGTGGAGGGCATTTGCCAGGCCAACGTCCGCTCGGCAGTCTTTCTGCATTTGTTGGAGAAGTACCGCCGCTACCAGGACCGGTGCCGTGACTTGCGCGAGTGCCTAAGGAACAACCCACAGAACTGGGAACTGGTAGAAGAGCTGGAGAGGAGGGAGCTTCATATGCAACAGACCCTTAACAGGGTAAATGTTCTCGAGGGGCAGCTCCGTCAAAGGAATGAGGATATAGACGCTGAGAGGAGAACAGCCACCGAGGCAGCGGAGGCCGCTGAGGCTTTGACTAGGCAGGTGGCTGCCTTAGAGACAAAGATTGCAGCCTCAAGGAAGCGAGCAGAGTATGCCCTGTCGAGGGTCGAAACACTACAGACGACTAGCTATGCCCAAGAAAGGGAACGTGGATTGGACAAGGTTGCGGCTGCTTACCGAGAGAGGACGTTGGAGGGGCGCATTGCTGTTTGCGAGCAGGACGCCCGTGTTGCGGTGGACCGGATTGCGGCCTTGGAGGCAGAGAACCAATACTTGAGGGACCAGGCCGCCTCTTTCGGTCCTGCTCGTGAGCTTTGGACGTTCGCTGAGGCCCAGCTCGACGTGTATAAAAGGCCGTGGGAAGCCGGCGTTGTGCCTGAGACTGCCTATGAGAAAGCCCGCCAAAAGGCTCGCGATGCTCGCCTTAACTGCGGTTTTGACCCGTCTACATCCGGGGTTGATGATGGCGCCGAGGGCACTCATAATATTGAGGGTGGCGCTGGTGGCGCCGAGTGAAAAAGAAAAACTTGTAATATTTGTTTTGTTTCGTTCTCTTTTTCTCTTTCTTTTTTGCTGCCATTTGGCTATCTCTTTTTTTTTTGTCGGCCTTGGGCCGATGTAATCAGGGGTAACCCCTTGTAAATTTTGTAAATATATGCGACTTTTTTCTTTCCTGCTTGCCTTGTGTTAATTTTGTATATTTTTTTTTGCACTCGTTCGAGGGGGCCTTGCCTTAGAGTTTTCTAGTGAGCATGCTGATGGCCTTAACTGGTTAGGTGACTTCGACCATTGTCGAGTCGATTCCTTGCCTTAATAGGGAAATGGCATTGATGGTTTGGCCATGGATAGATGCTTTTTTGGTTATCACTTCCCTTTGCTTGGTGGGAGCGAGTTGTAGCCATGTTTGGCGGTGGAGGCACATAGCCTTAGTCCTAGTTCGGGCTTGGTCGGACTACTGGCTGTGGTGATGAGGAACACGGCCTTGTAGTTTGACCTGGGCCGAACTTTACGTGGGCCGAAACTCAGTTTAAGTTTTCGCACTTACTTGAATGGCGGGGGCGCTTGGCCTGAGTTTGGGTTCAACCGGGGTTGAAAATTTAGGGGCGTTTGGCCTCATCTGATCTCGGCCCGGCTCGTATCTGCGAGGGCTTATAATCTTGGCCTCGATTCGATCGTGGTTGAGCTTGTGACTTCTGCGGCGAAGGCGTGTAACCTGGATGGCTGTTCGACCGTGGTTGAACTTTTTGTATTTCTTGATGGCGAAGACACTTAGCCCGAGTCCCAGTTCAACTCATAGTTGAACTTTTTGGGTGAGGGCACGTACCCTGAGTTATTGTTCAACCGTAGTTGAACCTTTTGCATTTCTTAATGGAGAAGGCACTTAGCCTGAGTCCCAGTGCAACTCATGGTTGAACTTTTCGGGCGAGGGCACGTAGCCTGAGCTGTTGAACCTTTTGCATTTCTTAATGGCGAAGGCACATAGCCTGAGTCCCAGTTCAACTCATGGTTGAACTTTTTGGGCGAGGGCACGCAGCCTGAGTTGTTGTTCAACCGTAGTTGAACCTTTTGCATTTCTTGATGGCGAAGACAAGAACTTTTTGGGTGAGGGCACGTAGCCTGAGTTGTTGTTCAACCGTAGTTGAACCTTTTGCATTTCTTAATGGCAAAGACACTTAGCCTGAGTCCCAGTTCAACTCATGGTTGAACTTTTTGGGCGAGGGCACGTAGCCTGAGCTGTTATTTAACCGTAGTTGAACCTTTTGCATTTCTTAATGGCGAAGGCACTTAGCCTGAGTCCCAGTTCAACTCATAGTTGAACTTTTTGGGTGAGGGCACGTATCCTGAGTTGTTGTTCAACCGTAGTTGAACCTTTTGCATTTCTTAATGGCGAAGGCACTTAGCCCGAGTCCCAGTTCAAATTAAAGTTAAACTTTTTGAGCGAGGGCACGTAGCCTGAGTTGTTGTTCAACCGTAGTTGAACCTTTTGCATTTCTTAGTGGCCAAGGCACTTAGCCTGAGTGCCAGTTCAACTCATGGTTGAACTTTTTGGGTGAGGGCACGTAGCCTGAACTGTTGTTCAACCGTAGTTGAACCTTTTGCATTTCTTAATGGCGAAGACACTTAGCTTGAGTCCCAGTTCAACTCATAGTTGAACTTTTTGGGTGAGGGCACGTAGCCTGAGTTGTTGTTCAACCGTAGTTGAACCTTTTGCATTTCTTAATGGCGAATGCACTTAGCCTGAGTCCCAGTTCAACTCATAGTTGAACTTTTTGGGTGAGGGCACGTAGCCTGAGTTGTTGTTCAACCGTAGTTGAACCTTTTGCATTTCTTAATGGCGAATGCACTTAGCCTGAGTCCCAGTTCAACTCATAGTTGAACTTTTTTTGGTGAGGGCACGTAGCCTGAGTTGTTGTTCAACCGTAGTTGAACTTTTTGCATTTCTTAATGGCGAAGGCACTTAGCTTGAGTCTCAGTTCAACTCATGGTTGAACTTTTTGGGCGCGGGCACGTAGCCTGAGCTGTTGTTCAACCGTAGTTGAACCTTTTGCATTTATCAATGGCGAAGGCACTTAGCCTGAGTCTCAGTTCAACTCATGGTTGAACTTTTTAGGTGAGGGCTCGTAGCCTGAGCTGTTGTTCAACCGTAGTTGAACCTTTTGCATTTCTTAATGGCGAAGACACTTAGCCTGAGTCCTAGTTCAACTCATAGTTGAATTTTTTGTTCTCCCGCATAACCCGTTTCGTGTAGGGCGTTGGGGGTTGATTTTGGTTTGGGATCTTGCACGACTCGTGCTTGCATTCTTCTTGACTGGTTCGTGTAGGTTACCCTGTTACGGATCTCGGTTCGAGATGCTTTTGTGCTTTATTCTTTTTTGGCAGGATCCCGTGTCAAGGGGGATGAGGTACCTTATGCGCGTTTTCCCCGTAGGGAGGGGGCCTGCTTCTTCTTCTTTTTGCCCTTACTCGAAAATGGGGGATATGGAAGCAAGCTCATGTTGAGGCTTTTGAGTTCCTTTTACCCGCTATGCCGCTTTGGTTTGTTCGAGCTGGGTTAATATCTCTTTTGGGTGTTTCCTTTCCTTTTTGGTCCAAGGGTGAACTACGCGATTCTGCTATGAAATCCCCACAGACGGTGCCAAATTGTTTAGCTCAAAAGTCATAGTATACTTTACAAGCATAAAAACAATTAAAAATCGTTCAAGGGCCAATCATAGCAGGTCGTAATAAATTATAGACCGAATAAAATGAACAAGGCAAGAGTTTATGTATTAAGATGGTAAGGGTGGGAAGCTTTTTATTGATTAGTATTGATGCGGTCTGCCTCTTCTTGGAGAGGTTCAGAGCCTTACAATGATTTTCTCTCTTTCTATAGAAGTAGAGATGAAGAAGAAAAAGTAGCCCCCTTTTAGGGTTCTTTCTCTTAGTATTTATAACTATGAACCTTGCCAGCTGGCGCTGGAAGGCCGTGGCTGCGTCGAGGGGACGTCCGAGAGCAGTGAGTAGGCCGTGGCCTCGTTAATTAGATCAAGTAACCTTTGTGTGCCATCATTAGCAAATGATTATACCTTATATTAGCTTGAACGGGCTTAGGAGCTAATTAATCACGTTAATTATCATGAGTTTAGTTTTGACACATACAGTCGTCAAATAGGTTATTACACATCAATTGTATGAAAAAATTGCGTGCTTCGGCCAGTTTTAGAAGGAAATAAAGATACTTCTAGAAAATATCCATTAGTTTTTCAAAAACTTTTGTGCTGTGCTATTTTTAAGAAAATACCATAAATATGTAAACTCATTTCTAGAATATAACTTAAGAGCAAGGATAGATATTCAAAAATAAACGAACTGGCTTATCCTGATGCGACTGCAATTAGAAAATGCGTACAACGCAACTCACAACTACGACTTCTAGTCCGCAATTCAGTTTCCTCCTAATCGTGTTTGATAAATACGACTTATTAATCAGTTTTTCCAAGTCTCGTCTGTATATTCGTACGTGCAAGGTGCGTTGTCTTGCTCCTTCATCCCTTGACGAGTCTCTTTATTTTTCATATTATTTCTTTTTCTTTTTCTTTCAACGTTAACGTTACACCTCTCTGGCTCTCTCTCTAATTTTGGTAGCTATTTCCCCCTCCTCCTCTCTCTCTATTCACTATTCCACCATCAGATCTGGTATACTGGGAGGAGGGTGGTATAATCACACCTCATCAGGTTCGCATTTCTATTCATTTAATTCCTTCTCTTTTTCATACCTTTTTCCTATAGATCTCATTATTTTAATTCATTCATTCATATGTGTAATTTTTTGGTTATCTGTCATTTGTATTTCCAATTTTTGAACTTTTGTACCTTTGGTGATTTGAGTTGGAAAATTGAATCCAATAATGGTAATTAATAGTGCTTTATTTTGTTATTGGATTGATCAGCAATTTTTATAAGATGATGAAATAACGAATTTTGAATGAAGCAGGAAATATAGAATATGAATCGTGGCTGGATTATATGGCATTTTTATGGAATTTTGGGTTTAATGCTTATTGATTAACCTTTTTCTGGTGTTTGTTTATTTATTGTTTGCATTTACTGAATCTACTTGTGTAAATGGCTGCAGTTTTGCTGTCTTTGATATAAAATCAAATGCAACAAAATACCACTGCATATGATTTCGTACTTGGATTGGTTGGCAAAAGAAATGAAAAAAAAAAAGACAATGAAACAAGGATAGGGTGCAACAATTTCACTGATGAGTTGTGCTATGACGTGTTATATGTAATGTGCATGTTGATTGCTGGTCTTGAAGATGTCTTTATTTGGTTGTCTTCTTCGTCGAATCTATGCCTCTGTTTCACTTGTAAAGATTGGATTTTTGGAATTTGTGGGTTGAGGAAATGGCTTCTAACCAGAAACTAGTTGCAAATGAACGTCATAATTCTTTTTTCTTTTCCCAGTGAAAGATGATATTCCTTTTGAACCCCTGAACGTCTGCTTAGTTGGACGATAGAGACGGTGCATGGATATAAATGACTTTCTTCTGTCTCTGCAGAATCACTTGAAGGGTGCTCGTTTTTTATAGAGTACCTGGCCTGCTAAGTGTACTCCAAAATGAAGAAGGCCTTTGGTCAAACTGTGAGAGACATGTAAGTTTAATTAGTTCTAAAACTCTTGTATAAATTCTGTAGTAATTAGCAGAATACTGTTTCTGCTTGGTCCTCCACCTTTTGGCACTTCTCATTTCTCTATGTCAGAATTGAGGTACAGAAAAAACAAATCGTATTCAATTAGGTTTTTAAATTTTTTGTCTTTCATATGTTGCTTGCTCGTGTTAGATCTTTTGCTTGATATGAAATTAGTTGCTTTTCCCTCTTATTGCAGCAAGCGAGGGGTGAACAAAAAAGTTCTTAAGGTCCCTTCAATAGAACAAAAAGTAAGTTATATTCCTTGACCCTTTTGTTAGATTGATATCTGTTATTTATGTGCAACTACAAAACTAGATCTACTTCAGGGAATACAAAGAAGGGACTGCAAGTTTGTTTTGCCCATCACCAACTAAATATTGCAGCCCTTTCGTTTGGGACTTGGGGTTGAGGTTTATCTCTTGAAGGCTGGAGCGCGAAACTAATATGTGGAGCGTGTTCATTTTAGTCTTCATTGAAAAATGTTTAATATAAGAAACGACTGTCACGGATAATCTTTTGAAAATGTAAAAGACATATGATGAATAGTGATATGTGACTATGAAATTATTGTACAAACGTTTTGAAGGGTTAAGAAAAAATGCATTCTTCTTTAATAGCCAATAATGAATTATGTTTTAACCTCAAGCCTGATGAAAAATGTCCTAAGGTGTTGCTAACCAGGCGTATTGCCTTGGTGGAAGCATCATGCCTGGATACAAGAAGTGATAGTTTCAAAACTAATCTTTTTTTGTGTTAACTGTTAAGTAGTTCAAACTAATTAAAAAAAGGCATGCTTCTTTGAGTTAGGTCATTATTATCTGCGAGGTGGTTTTCTTTTACTTTTGTGAGTTTGAATCTTATGAATAGCTTTTGCAGTAGTGCAACCATCACTGATTTCTCTTATCTTGCCATAGATCGTTTGTAAAGAAGGGAATAAGGAGAAGATGTGGCCTGGAAGGGGAGTATCAAATCTGTTTAAGTTCAGAAACAACTAGGTTCTTGCACTAATAGATCCATATGTAGAACATTGATGCCCTTGTTAATGACTGATTTAGAAATCAGGGTTAGATCCTTACAGAGACAAAAATTCACTTGGTGATTTCTTTCCATCTGCCTAAGCCTTGATGGGTTAACCGGTATCTATGCTGTGGGGAGGTAGCAGGTACCGGTGGAATAGTCTATGCAAGCTAACACGGGCACCACCTTTGTCAGAGAAAGAGAAAAAGAATGACCGATGACTCGAACTATTTTTGGCATTTCTCGCCTTTTATTTTGGTGTTATGTATTTTTTGCTGCATATGCCACAATGAACCTAATTGCCTTTTCATTTGCTTGGCTCTGAATGATAGCCCACACTTTGGGTCAGAGAATTGGATAGACCAAAATCTAACATACCTGTTATCTATGCCAAGCATATCTTTTTCGACTCTGGTTTATATTGTCTAATCTTAAATGAGCGGAGCTGCACAGGAAGCGTGGAAAATATGTTGATCTTCATATTACTTTCTACATTATTTTCTCATCTGTTTGCTTTTTGGCATCTTAAGGTGCTTGATGCGACTAGCAATGAGCCCTGGGGTCCTCATGGATCACTTCTTGCAGATATAGCTCAGGCTTCAAGAAACTAGTAAGCTTGTTTGTGCCAGCATCTGTATTTAATTGTGCTATTCTTTTTTGCTTTTCTCCTATTTAAGAGTTCATTGCAAAATTTTCAGTCATGAGTACCAAATGATTATGGCTGTAATTTGGAAGCGTATCAGTGATACTGGAAAGAACTGGCGGCATGTGTACAAGGTTCGTGATGCTCGACTTTGTTTTCCTCCTCCCACCCAAGGCTGCGTTTAGAATGTCTCTGGAGAATTATATCTTCTGAATGTGGCATTTTTTGTGTTACCAAACCCTTATGTATCATACATGCTTTGCTTGCTTTGTATATGTAGTCTAATCTAATGTCCAATGGTTAATTTCAGGCTTTAACTATTTTGGATTATTTAGTAGCCTGTGGGTCTGAGCGCGTCATAGATGAAATAAGGGAACATGTATACCAGATATCTGTAAGTTTCTTCGTTGTTTTTGATTTATGAATGTGGTGACATGTTTTGCAAATTTTTAGTATCTGGAAAATCTGTTAATTGTTGTTTTCTCCGGTCATTATCACAGACATTATCCGATTTTCAATACATTGACTCTAGTGGAAGAGATCAAGGAAGCAATGTGAGAAAGAAATCTCAGAGTCTTGTCGTTCTTGTAAATGATAAGGAGAGGATCCAAGAAGTCCGCCAAAAGGCAGCTACCAATAGGGACAAGTAAGTCTACTTTCTTGTACACAGGTGATACATAAATATCCCTAACTATTACTTATTCCAGAATAGACCCTTGTGGTCCGGCCCTTCCCCGGACCCCGCGCATGGTGGGAGCTTAGTGCACCGGGCTGCCCTTTATTACTTGTTCCAGAAATTTGGCAAATATTATGCCAAACTTTTGTTCTTTTCCATTGCTAGTCCTTACCATGGCAAGGTGTCTTGAATTTTCTCATCTTCTTGGTAGATTCCGCAACACATCAGTGGGTGATATGCATCAACCTGGTTCGTATTCAAGTTCAGGAGGGTACGGTGACAGATATGAAGAGGATCGTTATGGAGGCAGAGATGAAGAGAGAAATGGTTATGGAAGAGATGAGGAAAAATATGGCAGGTATGGTGACTCATACAGCCGTGATGGGGATCGCTATGGTAGAGGTTATGATGAACGTAGCCGAGATGGAAACAGGGATGATGATCATCGTGGAAGAAGTCGAAGTGTAGACGATTATAGTTATGACTCAAGAAGTAGGAGCTCTGACAGAGACAGAAATCGTGCTTATGATGATGATGGTCAATATTCTTCTAGGTTTGTCTTTGCACCTTTCTGTATATCCAAGAAGGCATTATTTTTTGTGACCTAGTGTAAGTTTCAAGTTCTGATAGAAAACTGAATAAGATCTCTTCTAGCACCGTTGTTTATTCCTGCCATTATTCTGAAATTTGATTTGCAAGTTCCATCTATTCATTAATATTCTGGCCTTCTTCACTAGTAATGCATTACTTTAATCTTCATGGTTGACTATTACCTTTTACCAACAGAGGAAGTGGTGCAAGGGCTGAGGATCGTTCTCAAGATGGAAGGTGATACTATCAACTCTTTTTAGTTGATAAAGTAAGATGATTCATTGATTGGCATCAAGAAAAGATGCAGAGATTACAAAAGCGAATATGCGATCTCCAACAACAACAACAAACCCGGTAGTTTCCCACAAGGTGGGGTCTAGGGAGGGTAAGATATACGCAGCTTTACCCCTACCCCTGGGGCAGAGAGAAGTTGTTTCCGATAGAGAACATGCTAGCTCCAATACAGGATATATTATAATAAGTCTGGGAGCTAGTCAAAAAAGATCCAAATCTAGTGAGATCACTATTAGATCAACTCTTTTTAGTTTTTCTTAAGTTCTGTTACTAGATTGGTTTAGGTGACCCGAAAAGAGGAACCACAACACATTGTACTCTCTTGGATGACTTAAACCTTATATGTATAATGTGTATATGTAGCATCAGATGATACATAAATAAACATATACAACATTGGATCAATTAGAGAATGGTTCTATTTATGACAATATTAAACGTGTTCAATTTCAGTGTTACTGATATGCGGCTAGAAAGAAGGTTTTCTGAACAAAACCTTGATGCACCTCCCAGTTATGAGGAAGCTATCGGTGCATCACGAAGCCCCACACATAGTGAAAGGTAATAGTTGTGTGAGAAGATTCTTAACTCAACTCCTCTTCCTGCAAATTTTGTATTGATCTTTATTTTATTTGTAACAGGAATGGGGAAACACCTTCAGCATCTGCTCCTAAATCTTCTTCTCCTCATTCAATTGGGAGTCCAAACCAAGCAACCACCCCTGCTCCTGCTCCAACTGCTGCTTCATTGCCCACTCCACCACCAGCTGCTGCTTCACCAGAGAAGAAGGATATTGAGAGTTTTGATGAATTTGATCCCCGGGCGTCTTTTTCAGGTAGTGACATACTTTAAAGATCAGCAGGCAAATTAATACTTAATGCTCAAGTATACCAGTGTAGTCAAACACTTTGGAAAGGTGTTTTCTGGTAAAGAAGACATATTGGTTTCCTTTTGTCTTCTCAAGCTGGGACCTTAGTAATCCTTAGTTGTGTGGGTTATTCTCTGTCAATTAAAGGTGTTACTCAATTGCGTTGCATGCTTGAGGTCATTTTACTTGATTGGGGTTGATGAAGACCTCTATTCTTTGAAGTTTTATGACTTTTTAGAAACTGTTCAACATGAAAATGTATTTACCCATTTTGGAAACTACAAGTTCATATTTTACTCTATGGAATACACCTAAAATAAACAGAAAAT